GTTAATTAGTATTTTTCTTTAATAAACACACATATTATCTTATATCTTATCTTATTTTCTTCTTGCTCTATTGAGAGAACATTCAGTTAGAAGTAAATTCACATAAATTATCTTATTGAGAAGATAATCGTATTTTTATTACAAGTAAAATATGTATAAATTATCTTATTGAGAAGATAATTATATTTCCATCAGAAGTAAACCTCACATACATCATCTTATTGAAAAGATAATTAATCGTATAATCTCTTGAAGTTATAAAAGTTAATAACTGCCGTGAACACAGTTACTATTACCATTTTAAAATAATTATATACGCATAATCTTAAAATGGTAACAATACAAACTATTTGAGTTAAAGTAATATATATTATTTTTATCCTTACATTATACTTTTCAGAATCAAGTTTGCTAGTTTTTCTTCATTTCTCAATAAAAATATCTTTTTTATGCATACTTGATTCTCTATGTTTCACTAGATAACAGGAGTAAATAATCCAAAAATTATTATTTTTACACTTTTAATTACTATATCATGTCTACATATTAGAAATAAGTAATTACAAATTTTCATGAAATTTATTTTCTGAAACTTCAAATGATTTGTCAATATTAAATATACTGAGATGTTTTTTATTCATTGCTTGCATATTAGAAAAAAATAGAGAAATGATAAGAATATAGAGAAATGTGAAAATATAAAGAAATGGCAAGAATATATAAAATATATATAGTAAGTAAGTATATTAGTATATGTCTTAACAGTTATATATATCTTTAATATTAATAGTGGTAAATATTATTAGTCTTAATTAGCCTGCGTTTAACATAAAAACCATAATTAACTTCCACCCCTTCCCTTTCCCATCCTTGAAATATGAGAATGTTTTCTTGAAAAGTTTATTTTATTTTGCATGTAACACTACATGTAAATCCGAATCAAATCAACCCAGATCGACTCAATCCGGATTGCACTACCCCGCTTTAGTGTTCCCCCCGTTTTGTCTCAAAATTCCGTTTTATACCGATCTCATGATATATGAATTTCTCCGAGCCATAATATCACATGATTGGTACATGTTTATTATGTATTACGGTCTGCTGTCTGTTTTGCTGGACGGGGAGTTTGCTATGGATGGAAGCTTTTTTATGTTTTATTTATTTCCTCTTTGACTAACTTCATTATTACCATCATTTTAACGCTTATGAATGTATCCGATTCACTTTAATCTGTAGATGCTTGGAATACTAATCAAGAATGTAGTGAGGCAATTTTAATCTCAACTCTGGCCCTTACAGTATAATTTTCCAAATCTGACAGACTTCTTGTGTGCTTTATCGAGAGTAAAAAAATAGGGCTCAATTTGTTTGTACAATAGCTTTTTTTCATATCAATATATAAATATTCTTACTTTTTAAATGTATTTATAATGAATGATAACTTGCCGCCAAATAAATTTAAATAATAAGGAAAGTTAATTTAAAAATCACGTACTGGATATACGATGCCGAATTCCCAACTATACTTTATCTATAACGATTTCCTCACCATCCCAAATTCCTGACAGCCATGTTTTTTAAGTAGTATATGATATTCATTATTTATTGTACATGAAATATTTCGATCAATGTTTAGGAAGCTCTGCTTTTTTGAATTCATAAAAATGTGGTCTTTTTTATAATAAAAAAATATCGATTCATAAATCATAAATTCTCAATAGATAAATGAAATGAATGTCAAAAAAAAAAAAAACTTACGCCAGTTCCGCTAACCAAGCCGGATCAATTACTGTAAGATCTCTCATGAACGGTTTAGTTGTTTCTACAACTATAAATAAGACATAATCATACACGAAATGAGCATAAAGCTTTAGACAAAACGGAGATTAGAAATACAAACATACATACCTTCGTGAAATATAACCCACTCAACAGCTCGTGTAAAGAGAACGGAGGATGGGTGTACATGCAATTCCTATTAGTTAAATGATCCTCATTAAATGGATGAAAAAGCGATTTCACGAATAAAAAATTTGAAATTCACCACATTATCCCTTATAGTTCTGAACGTTCCATCCGGCATCATCTTTGCAGCATTAGCAAAATATCCACTAACCAAACATTTTCGTATTTTAACAGTATCGTTTCCACATGACTCTAGTGGCACGTCAAACCGTTTTAGGTATTTTGCCAACTGTTGACGAATTGACATAGCACGCGTAAGAGCTCGAAAATTAAGACCGTGTTCGTGACACCAACGACCAGACTTTTTTCCGCGTGTTATAAATGACTTGTATACTAGAATAATAAAAAGATGTTCTATAAGTATGTTGTTGAATCCGAAATAATAAAATTGGCGTGATAATAACCGTTCAATAAAGTTATATGATCTCCTTCTTCGACCGCGAATTTTCTTTTCGTTTCATCCAATCTACCAGAGGATGATACAAATACATTCTATATCAAATTAGTTTCGTCATGACAACAGCCAAACAAAATATTTAACATAGCTTTAGATCAAGATTTACTTGTACTGATATCATGGCAGCAATGGTGAGCATTTCTTCGGCACAATTGAATTTATACGAATCTATAAGCTAGATTTTCACAGAACAATAAGTTTATTATTCTCAAAAAAGTCTAATGTCAAAAATATACCTACTATTTTTCCCAGCATGGGATCTACGGGAAATTCAGCAAGTTGCATTCCAAGTGGAACTGTTAATCTGCTATAATCATCCAATGCTTTCAGAGAATACAGCAGCTATTCAATCAAGGAGATATGATAGATAAGACGACTTTATCTATTATGAAATTTAAAGTATTTGCTAGATCATAAAACTAACCTCTAAAGCGCGTATCATTAGTTCTGCCGGTGGAGGAGTCATAAAATCAAAACGTAACACATTGTCAATCCCAAGTGCTTTCAATTGGAGCACAACAGGAGCGAGATTACTCCTTAAATGAAATAAATAAAAATTAGTTAAACCATTAAACATAATAAAATTCGCTTCTTCCTCATTAAACCAAAAAGAACCTTTGCATTTCCGGCACACTAGCATCCTCGAATTCATAAAAACTATCCTCGGTGTAAAGACGATACGCTTTGCCCTGTGTTATCCTACCAGCGCGACCGGCCCTTTGTTGAGCTGACGCTTTTGAAATGGATGTGATAGTTAAGCTTTCCATTCCGGTTTTTGGATTATACGCGCGGATCTATAATGGCTTAATAATGAAAATAATTCTGGAAATGGGTTGCTATTTTATCTTTGTGATATAATGTTTTAGCTTACCTTTACAAAGCCACAATCAATCACGTACACAATACCTTCAATAGTAATCGAGGCTTCCGCGATATTAGTTGCTATTATCACTTTACGAGTGTTACGAGGTGTAGGCTCGAATACGAGCATTTGCTGTTCTGTTGTCAAGCCTGCGTATAGTGGTAATGGATTAATTTTCATGGCTGAGCGCGGGAGACTTTAAATAATTGAAAAAAAGTTGATGAGTTTCTGTGTGTCATATAAAAATCTTCAATTAATAATTAAATTACGTGGTGGCTCTTTCCGTTATTTCCTCTACCGCATGTTCAATTTCATCTCTACCAGTCAAAAATACCAAAATATCTCCAAGAGGTTGCTTTATATATACCAAAAAATATTACATTGTGAATCAATCCAAAGCTAAATGACAATCAATGCTCTTGTAAGATAACAACAACATCGAACCTTTGTATGAATATCAAAAACAGTTTGGATCGCCTTCTCGACGTAATCTGAACATGGTTCCTCAAGATAATGTATATCAACAGGAAACATTCTTCCTTCTAATGAAATTATAGACGCGTCGTCTTTACTTTTATCATTGGTAGTGTTTGTGTTATAGAATTCGTAAAAAGCTTCGGCGTCCAATGTTGCAGAAGAGATGATAATCCGTAATTCAGGACGTTTCTTTTTTATTCTGTAGGCAAATAAAAAAAATATTCTCAACTTTGCTTCACTAGAGACTAACGAATGGACATACTTTTTTAACAATCCTACGAGGATATCAGTATACAAGCTTCTTTCGTGTGCTTCATCAATCATTATGACACTATACTGCGAAAGTAACGGATCGATCAGAGTCTCGCGGAACAACATACCATCCGTCATGTATTTTATTCGTGTTTTACTTGGATCTGTGCAATCTTCAAATCGGATGCTGTATCCAACCTTTTATGAATATGAGAATCCAAGTATTAGGAAATTTATTATCAAAAAGAAAATCATTTGATAGATTGAGCCCAGGATCTAAATTCTACCTCCTCACCCAGTTGTACATTCATTTCTTCTGCGACACGTTGAGCAACAGTGGTTGCAGCAACACGACGTGGCTATTTGATAATAGTTGTAAATATCAAGCCATAAAAATCGCGCGCATCGCGATCAAATACCTGTGTGCAGGCTACTACTCGACCACCAAAAGTCCAGCCCGCCTCATGAAGATATTGGGGTATTTCTGCGCAACATGATAATTAAGTTGGTTTTATTTCTATATTCATCATTTCTTAAAGATGCGCTAAATTTAAATACGTGTTGTTTTGCCGCATCCGGTCTGTCCAACAATAATTGTCGTCTGAAATTTCTCAACGAGATAAAGAATATGATCACCTAATAAAATTCAAGATTTAATTAACATCAGCACATAATAGGAGATAAAATGTTATTAAATGAAATACTGACGTGACTTGAATACAGGTAATCGCTGACGCTGTTGTTGTATTGTATACGTGGTGACACTTGGATTCACATAGGGGAGGAAACTTTCCCCTGTTTCTTTCTCAGTTTCTCGGTCGAGACTAGCACCAGGTGCAGTTGTTCCTGGTTTCCAAAATGCCATGACTACAAAAGTCAAAAACGGTTTTAATTTTTTCGCCGATCGTCGATTTTATAAATAGAAAAGTAAACCAGTAAACCAACTGCACGTGCCAAATTTTCCGCACGAAAATTATAAATATGAGACGATCTTTTTTGATCACTTTTATTTAATAATGGCAGAACATCGTAATAGTGGTCAAGAGAAAGAGGAGGTGCGTAAATTTAAAAACGAACAAAGATTAAAAAAAGGTGGAAGTACTAACGCTGAGACTGAGGCTGCAACATATAAGACGAAAATATGTAAAACTTTTGAGCAAAGTGGCACATGTCCATATGTTGTTTTATTCATAACGGCAAAGACTCAATAACAATATCGCAAAAGACCATTCTTTTATATCATTAGATTCAATTGAATTTTCCTTTTTTATGTATGTTTATCAGTCCCATTCAGAAGATTTTGAGAATTATAGAGAGCAAGAAGAGGAGGTGGAAGGAGATGATCAAGATGAACATTACGAGGAAGCGGAACATGAGGAAGAAGAGGGGTCGGAAGAAAATGTAGACGTATGGGATGATAGCGCGCTAATTTCTGCTTGGGAAAAAGCGT